ATGACAGAGTGTATATTGACATACATACATGGAGTGTAACTTCCCACTTTTGTAGTTGTATATGACGTGAAGTTATACTGGTCGTATATTCATATAGTTAGGTCTGATTCATTCTACTTTGTTTCCCATTCCCTTTCCCCCACTTCCCCTTGTCCAATCTGGTGAACCTCTCCACCACCACCTCTTGTAAGCATCTGCATATCAGAGAGAAGATTTGGCCTTTGGTTCTTTGGGATTGGCTTATTTCACTTAGCATGATATTCTCCAGCTCCATCCATTTACCAGCAAATGCCATGATTTCTTTCTTCTTTATGGCTGAGTAATATTCCATTGTGTATAGGTACCACATTTTCTTTATCCATTCACTTGTTGAAGGGCACCTAGGTTGGTTCCATAACTTAGCTATTATAAATTGAGCTGCTATACACATTGATGTGGCTGTGTCACTGTAGCTGCTGATTTTAAGTCCTTTGGGCATATGCCGAAGAGTGGTATAACTAGGTCAAATGCTGGTTCCATTTCTAGTTTTTTGAGGAGTCTCCATATTGCTTTCCATATTGGCTTCACCATTTTGGAGTGCCACCAACAATGTGTGAGTGTACCTTTTCCCCCACATCCTCGACAACACTTATTGTTGTTTACGTCTTCATAATAGCTGCCATTCTGACTGGAGTGAGATGAAATCTTAGTTTTAATTTGCATTTCTGTAATTGCTAGTGATGTTGAACCTTTTTTCATATATTTGTTGACCATTCATATTTCTTCTTCTGTGAAGTGTCTGTTCAGTTTCATTGTTCATTTGTTGACTGGGTTATTTGTTTTTTGGCGTTACGTTTTTTGAGTTCTATATATGTTGGAAATTAATACCCTATCTGAGGTGCAGGTGGCAAAGATTTTCTCCCATTCTATATGCTCTCTCTTCATGTTCTGGATTGTTTCTTTTGCTATGAAGAAGCTTTTTAGTTTGAAGCCATCCCATTTATTGATTCTTGATTTTACTTCTTGCCTTTTAGGAGTCTTGTTGAGGAATTTGTTTCCTAAGCCAACATGATGGAATTTGGGCTTAATTATTCTTCTAGTAGGCACAGTGTCTGTGGTCAGTGCCTAGGTCCTTGATCCACTTTGAGTTTTCAACAGATAAATTTTATTAAGTGCCTACTGTGTGATAATGGTGCTGTGTGGCAAGAGCACTAAGATGAGTAAACATACCTATCCTTGCCATTGTTGAATTTAAGAAAGAACATGTATGTATTTGTGTGTATATTACATATACACATAAAATATATATTTGTGAATCATATATATATATATTTCTGTAAGCCATTAAGAGCTTTTCAAAATCAACATCCAGCAAATAATTATGTACCTACACTGTACTTCACTGGGAGACCCAGGGGGATAATACCCAGGTCTCTGCCTTTTGGAATTTTGTCCTTGTGCAAGGTGATTATTTCATTAGTTACAACTGTGGTGCTCACATGAAAACAAGTACACAATCTATGACAACATGAGCACGATCCCCCTGGGCTGGAGGGTGAGGATCCGAGGTCTGAACTGGTGCTTGAAGGTTGAGAAAGAGGTTCAGAGGCTCAAGTGGCAGGGTGGGGTCCTCTGAGAAGAGCCCAAGCAATTAGTGAAAGTCGACTAAATTGAGGGCAGTCAGGCAGTAGAGCCTGTGAATGTTATTTTATCATTGCTTTAATTTGGATATTTTGCCCCAGCAAAATATCCAAATTTGTTTTTACTTCATAACCCAATCCCTTCCCTTCATAGGAAAATAAAGTATTGATGGTTTAATTAAATGCACTCTTGCAAAGAATGAATGTTTTTGAGAATATATTTATACTGTCATAAAATAGAAACAGTACAAATATAGAATAAAAACATTCGAGGTAGTCAAGAAGGATCAAAGATGAGTAAGACAAGAATCCCACTTCCAAGGAGTTGTTCCAGGAGAGATACACCAAATTAATCATGTCAGTGAGAAGTACTAACAGGCCTAGGAACAGGGTCTTGCAGGAAACCCAAGTCAGGGTGGCAGGGACAAGTCCATGTGTGGGGCAACTGCTGCTCAGAGCCTTGTGGAGAAAGACTGTACAGCACAGACATACCAGGGAATGAGGAAACAGGGCCAAGGTCATATATAGGATGAGGTCCCTGTGCTGTGACCATGTACAAGGTCATATACAAGGGACAAGAAACAAGGTCCAAGGTCAAATGGCAGTGACAAAGAGGCATATAATGAGATTGCTGGTATAAGAATACGCTTAAGTCTGTTTACAGATGAAAATTATTTGATTATAAAAAATAACTTTGGGAGAATTTACTTTTCTATATATTTTAAATCATAGAAGATTCTGTGCCATGGAAACTCCATGAAGAGCTTACTTAGTTTCTAGTAAATTTTGTATACGTCATTTTTTGTGGCCTTTCAAACTAAGTTTGATCTTTCTGGCATTGTAAACTCATTGATAGTGTGCTCTAGAAAACTTTTAAGGTTTTAATTGCTGACTTATAGGCTATAACATACTTGGTATTTTCACGTCTTTACATATCGTTCATATGTCAAAGCTTATAAACATTTATTAAAATTATATGGATGTACCCAATTGAAAAAAAATTATTTTCTTTTAAGATGGCAGATGGAAGCAAAAAACTTGTGGGGTGACATCTTGCTTTAGTCATTGCTTTCCTGCAAAAAGGGCATATAAGTACTCTTGTGATAGAATCTATAGTGAAATAAGTGTCCTTGAATTTTGCACAGGCCCTGGTAGGTAGGTGTTTGGTGCGTGCTGGGGGAGGGCAGTGGGATGTGAGATATGCTGTACTGTGCCCATTAACCTGGACTTGCTGCATCTTCAGTAGAAGTAAGATGAGGCTAAGGTGGGCAGGTGGAGTCATGAGTGCTGAGCGTGCACACCTGATGTGTGTACCCAGCATGTTTCACAGTCCCTCCCCACCTGTTGCCTCCAACCCTGCAGGTGATGGATCCTTGTCACTCAGGACTGGCCCAAAGGAAACCTACTTGTCATACCTGGACTATGTGTTTAGGATTTCAAGAGCTAGTTCTTTTTGGAGGGAAAATGAAGAGTGCAGCTATATTGCCACTTCCCTCTGAGTATTAGTATTTTTGCTTTTTTAACCACATTGGTGTTTTTAAAACACCAAATCTTAGGAAATCTCCCACTGCATTAGGAACTTAATAAATATTTATTGGCGTGGAAGTTTGCCTTGCTTCAAGATCTGATCTGGCAGAGACATATTTTCTCCTGTTGTTGTATTTTGGAATAGTTTGAGTGACTTTAATCTAGGACACTGTTATCATTTATACCGTTTCACTTTAGATCTTTTATGTGAGCTGTCGTATGGAGTAAATGTAATAAGCCTAGGGCTTACCTATTTTGTGTTTGACAGCACATTTTATAATTTTTTTCAGATTGGGAGTAGTTTTTGTTTGTGTGTGTGGTTTTGTTTTGTTTTACATAGTACTAGGGATTGAACCCAGGGCCTTGCATATGCTAAGAAAGCACTTTCTACTGAGCCATATCCCCATCCCTTTTTATTTTTTATTTTCAGACAGGGTCTTGCTAAAGTTACTTAGGGCCTGGCTAAGTTGCTCAAGCTGTCTTTGAACTTGTGATCCTCCTGCTTCAGCCTCACAAGCCCCTTGGATTATAGGTATGCACCACTATACTTGGCAGGAATAGTTTTAGAGTATTCAGTCTGTTTACTTGTAATATAATAACTGACACATGTGTTTAAATATACTATTTTTACTACTTGTGTTTTATTAGTCCACCTCTTCTAAATCTCTTTTCCTCCCTTCTTTTGGATTACTTTTTTGTGTTTGTTTTTTCTTCTCTGCCATTTATTTAGTGTTTAACTAGTACAGATGATGTCATGCAGTTTAGACTTATTAAAGACTGTAAATCTCATTTTCCAGGAAATGCAAGGATTTTAGAACTCTGCAACTCCATTTTACTCCTTCCACCATTTGGGCTGTTGTCATGTGTGTTTATCCTATAAGACATCTTTATTACTGTTTCATGCAGTTAATTTCTGTTTAGATTTACCTTTATAGTTACCCTTCTCTTATTCTGTATTCCTTCATGCATCTTTGATCTTCCATCTGTGATTATTTTCTTCCTTTCAGAAGAATTAACTCTTTCAAATTTCTGTGAAGCAGGTCTTGATGTTGATGAATTCAGTTTTTGTTAGGAAAATTTATTTCAGTTTCTTTTTTTTTCAAAAATTTTTGCAAAATTTCCATCAAAGCTGAAATATTTTTTTAGTGAATGCTTGTATATACACACTTAGATTCTGTGTTTTATTATACTTCCTTTATTATGTGTATGTCCATCCATCTTATTTTTTCATGTATTTGAAGGTAAATCGAAGCCATTGGTACATGTTTCCTCCAAGTATTTCAATATACCTTTTATTACCTAGACTTTACTATTGGTTTAAGGTATTTTTCCTTGAAATCATATTTATATTCTTTTCAGTTGTAGTTTGCCATTAAACCTATTATGTTTTATTTGTATTTTATCAGAATATTTTAGTTTGGGGTTTTCCATTTGTTGTTTTTAGTAGCTTAATGTTCCCTGCTGAAATTCCCCACTTTGTCACCTATTTCTTGAACATATTAATCACTTGATATTAAAGTCTATATGTTGTAAGTATGGATTTCTTGTATTTGCCCTCTCTATCCCAGTTTTCAGTCATTTGTGGGTCTAATACTGGCATGACTAATAACTTTTTTTCAAATCATTTTATCTTTAATAACGTGGCAATAATTCAAAATATGAAAAACGTGTTCCCTTTAAAGAGGATGTCACCCTGATGGCCTCATACAAGCATGATCAAAGGCAATCAGAGGAGACTGGATTCCAAAGGGCATGGGTGGTAAGAAAGCTTCATGGCTCACAGATTGATGCATTTGGTTATGGATTCTCCGAAACCGAGCAGGTGACAGATGAAACATGAAATTTAAAGGACCCTCAGAGAACAGGGCCAGGTTGCTGGGTCATGAGCACCTTGAACTGTTTCTTGATGGTGACTCGGTGTCTCGAGTATTTGTCGTCTGGGGAGAACCGAGCAGGATGGGCCGAGCAGGTCTGTTGTCCCATAGGGTCAAATTTCTTCATCGTGTAGACCCAATCTCCTTGCTCATTGAGATAATACTGGAGAAACATGACCATGTTTAAACCTGAGACTCCCAAGTCCGTTTGCCATGACTAGTAACTTTTGACTCAATTGCAAACATTGTGTGTAAAACATTGCATGTCCCTGGATATGATTAGTGTTCTCCAATGAGAACATTAATTTGCTTTTGACAATGAACATAAGAACAGGTTATCTTAACGCCCAACAGGGACTGAGCTGTTTCAAACTTGCCTCATCTTTATGAGTTGGTCTATTTCTGGTTCATTTGTATTCTAAAGACACAGTTTTCCTCTCCTCCTCCATTTTCCTCCTCCTCTGTTGTCTGGGGGGGGGTGCGGGGTGCGGGGGTGACTGGGGATTGGTACCCAGGGCATCACACATGCTTAGCATGTGCTAAGGGCTACACACCAGCCCTTTGCAGTCATTTAATTACAATAATTTTTTTTTTTAGTTCTAGATGGACATGATAACTTTGTTTTATATGTGGTGCTGAGGATCAAACCCAGTGCCTCATGCATGCTAGACAAGTGCTCTACCACAGAGTCACAACCCCAGCCCAGCACTCAAGTTTATGAGGGTTAGCCTGTAGGTGGGAAGAGAAATAACGATGTTAGATAAAGACAAGTACTTTGAGAGTATTTTGACAGTACTAACTTGTAAGACTAACCTTAAAGGGTTTTTCATTGCAAAGTTTAAGGTACTTTTATACTTTGTTGAAATTGCTGTTTAAATTGTCCTTCAGGGCAGATGAATTACATGCCAATAGATTTGTTTTTACACTGATAATGTTATTCCCATATCTGTCCTCTCCCACTAATAAACTGAAGAGAGCCCCTAGTGTGTGTTCTGAGATAATACTTAGCAATTGGAGCAGTTACTGATTTGATTATGACCTATGCTGGAAATTAAATAAAGTAAGTATAGAAAGATTCATTTTTACTGCCTTTTCTTCTTTGTTTACTACACTAAACATGTCTTATTGTTGCTTAGCTACTGACCTTGTATTTGTTATTTTTGTTTAACAGTCCTCCCCACCCCAATGAAACACTGAATATGTATAATTCCAGTCTAAACTCAACTCTTTTTATTTAAAATAGAAAAAGTATGTGGAATACAGCGAGATATCTCTTTATTATTTTTCTACAAATCTATATATAAGTTGAAATGTTATTAAAATGAATGGATTTTTAAATGCTGTGTTTATGTCTCTTTATTTACTTTAAATATGAAATATGTCCTCAGACTTGAGTTTTATGATATCGACACTTTTGAAGACTACAGACCAGTGGAATATTAATTAGTTTGGATTTTTAAAATTGTTTTCTTCTGAATTGATATATATAGTATGCATTTTAGCAGAAATATTACAGAAGTGACACTGTCTTTTCCTTGAATTTTAGCAGTTCATGATTTTTCTTTGTTTCACTATGATGGTGTCTGCCAGGCTTCTCCATTGCAAAGTTACTTTCTTTCTTATAATTAGTAAGCACACTTGTGGAGAGCTGCTTTTAGGCTATATAAATATCCTGTTCTTCAAACTCACACCTATGTTTTAGCATCCATTGATGTTTCTTGACTGAATAAATTAATATTGTGATGTTTGCCAACTGGTGATTTTATAATCCTGCCATTGCTTCTACTGTTATTAGCTGTAAGTAAAGTTTATTCCTCTTCCCATTTATTTATTCATGTATGTGTTTGTATGAATATAGACTCTTGCATTCCTATTTTGTTCAATGGGTTATAATCTCTTACTGTTATTATATTTTCTTATTTAATTATCCCAGATTTGTCCAGTCCTTTTGTGAGGGTTCTGTGTTTTTCTGGATATGTTTCTATATATTCTGAGCAAAATTTCTTGCTTTCTGGTACAGTAAGATGTTCCATACTCTTATGTTTTCCTGTCCTAATTTCTCTAAGACCCTTGTTCCTTATAGTAGAAAATATTTAGAGACAAAATCTGGCCCTAAGTATGTTCACTTCTGTTGGGTTGTTGCTGTTTGCAGGCCTCTTCAGTGGATTGAACTAGGAAAAGTATGTGTGTATCTCCATAATTTCACACTAATACCCCAAATTCCATTTCACCACCAAAAGGTTCTTTATTCTTTCTTTCCATGTCATAATTCCTTTCTTAGACAGTTGAGAAAACCAGCTCTCATCATCCTCAGAGATTTACTTAGTGCATCAATTTGTGCTGTATGTGTGCAATCTCCTGTTGGTGCCACATTTCTTCCGCTGGTGCCGTCTTGTCCTTACCGCTCAACCAGCACTGCCGCTCCCAGCATGCATAGGACCCTTTCTCAGTCTGGGCTCTGACACCTACTGCTGGGCTTTTGTGCCTGTCTCCCTTAGCCTTGCTTGAACCCAGGAGTGCCTTTTAAGGGTTTTTTTTTTTTTTTTTTGTCTTGTTTTGTTTTTGGTATTGGGGATTAAGCCCAGGAGCACTTTACCACTGAGCTACATCCCCGGTCTCCCTTATTATATTAAATTGCTGCAGGCTGGCCTCAAACTTACTGTCCTCTTGACTTAGCAGCCCACAAGTGTTTTGTTTTTTTCTTTCTCTCTCTCTCTCTCTTTTTTTTTTTTAGTTGTAGATGGACACAATACCTTTATTTTATTTATTTATTTTTATATGTGCTGAGGATTGACCCCAGTGCCTCATACTTGCAAAGCAAGCACTCTGTCACTGAGCCACAATCCCAGATCACAAGTGTCTTTTTACTTCAGAAAAGTTGGGGTTGGTTGGGCAAAAAGCCTACATCTGTCTTAAAATAGGCTTGTGTGTTTGTGTGTGTGTATGCATGCATACGCTGGAGATCAAATCCAGAGCCTTGATGCTAAGTGCATGCTAACCACTGAAATACATCTCCCGCCTCTTGAAATAGGCTTTTAATTTCAGTTACCTAATTCCAGGTGATACCTAACTCTGGCACATGTCACTGTAGCCCTTATATTAAGAGTTTTTTGAACACTTGTAGGGAAATTTCACCAAATAAAAAAATTCTATTTTGATATTGTACTCTTTGAAGATCTGTTTTCTTGGGTATTTATTTCTCTGTGCCAGACATTCAGCTTTGTCTTTTTCCTAGTAGATTGGGTCTTATCTTGATCATTTCGGTATTCCTCTTTGAGGTTACTATATGAGACATTTAATGTTTGACAAATTAACACATATGGAGAACGTGATAAAGGTTACTAGGTTTTTAAGGAAAATATACTTTGTGAAGTGCTCTATTATTGTAGCTAGCCGGCTGGTATCATGAGCTGTATTCTGAAAATTCAAATGAGTGATTTTTAAAATACTACTGTTGTTAGGCTAAGCTGAGGAGCATTTGATGATACTAATTCTTACCATTCTGAAGGTTTGTATGGATGTGACTCTTTCCTGTTCTTTCAGCCAAAGATTTTTTTTTTTTAATTTCCAAAAATGTTGTATAGAAGACAAGCCTTTTATTCCCATTTTAGGTAGTGCTTTCTTTCTTACTTTTTTTTTTTGATTGTGTATGCTGTGTTAATATAAAATACATTTATCAGGAGTGGACTTTTTCTGAGAAATATGTTAGATAATATTTGTTTCAGGGCTGGAGATATAGCTCAGTTGGTGGAGTGCTTGCCTTGCATGCACAAGGCCATGGGTTCAATCCCCAGCACTACCAAAAAAAAAAAAAGTTGTTTCAGATATCTTGTTAATATTTTCCCCTTCAAATATTATTTTGTTTCCTTCGGTTTGGTGTGGTATGGTGTGGTTTACTTTGGTTTCTCTTAAATAAAATTTTAATTTGGAACCACGTTTCTCCAGAGAGTATACAGCTATGCCAGTATAGAGTCAAGTAGGTAGCAGGGATAAACATGGCCCAAGTTCTTAGAATGTTAATTTTACCTGACGTTTGGGGGAGCCAGGGTAATGTTTATAATGAAACAAACATGGATATCATAGAATATCATGCAGATTTATATGAATTTTTAAGATTGAAAACAATAACCTTAATATTTATTGGAGGGCTGCTTTAGACTATGACCTAAGCCATGGGAATATTCACTTTCTGCTATCAGGGAATACGCCTGTGTAGGAGAAAAAAAAAGAAAAAACTGAGGAAATGACATGTTCTCTCACAAATTGATAAAGTCTGGTTTGCTTCTTTTCTTTAGTCAGTTTATTCAGTTTATTCATGATGCCTTTTCTAGCTCTTAGATTCCATAGTTTACTGACTTTCCATAAAACACCATATTCTTTCAGTGCATAATTTGATGAGTGTTCATTTGTTTTCTGAAGTGTTATTTGTATGCTGTCATCTTACATAATGCTTCTTTCCAGAGCATTTGCGCAGGAAACAGCCTTGTTGTGACCATCTCGTGTAGCAGACCATCTCCAGCAGTCCTGCTGGCTGCTATACCAGCTGAGGAGGAAGTGCTCCTGCAATATTGTGAGGCATCCTGTCCTCTACCTTGGGTCTCAGCACATGGATCATGTGCCTCTTGAGAAACAAACCTGGAAATTGGTTCTCCTGCTGATTGGAGACATGTTCTCCGTTTCTTGTCTGTCTAATCTCACATCTTGTCTGTGTGACCTCTATCTCATTTCCAAAATCATCTTTCTTAGCTCTGAGGCTGCCCCAGGGAGAGAGAAAGGGGACAGATGTGGGTTTGTGATTGAAATGAAACTTCTCATTTAGGAGTGCAAATATTATGTGATATACATAAAAAATAACTATTATTATTTTAAGCATGGAGCATTTTACTAGCTATCAATACTTGAAATAGAAAATAATACCATATTAAGAGCATGGGAGGTAGAACAAATTTAGACTATTTCCAAAATTAAAATTTTCACCTAGAGCAGAACAAGTGTCGTATTTGCATGTTCAGATGTTAGAATGCTAATGATGATAGTCATGGACAAAAATGTTAGACTCTTATAGTTTTTTTATCACAGGACCCTTCAATTTTGAGTATGACTCTTTCAACAAGTAGCTATATAAGTTTATTAGAGCTGTATATTTTTTTCTCCTTGTTTGGGAAGCTTTGTATA